TCCCACAGATTATGCATAAGCTCGGCTCATTTTTCTTTCCCACGTTCGTTTCAAGCGAGGAGAATACGTGGCAGGATTTTAATTAACACATCAACGCGACGCCAGCGCCACACGGATCCTCATTTAAACAAGGATGCGAAATGAACAAAATATTAACGTTTAAAGAGGGAGAATTATAATTAAAGCTTCTTTTTTGTCCGACTGACAAGGGAGTAATATATTTTGCGTACTTTAGCTTGCTTTTTTTTATAAAAGAAGGGATCAAACGAGCAATGGATCACCTAATATAAATTTTATTGACGTCCATTGATTGATGTAGTAGTATACTATTTTCATGGAATTCCCTAAGTCACAACCATGTTAACCTTTAATTCGACGAATTTTTTTGTAGCAAAAAAACTATTTTTTTTAGTAAAGTCATACTACGTAATTTTCTCTAAACTAGTTCTGTAGTTTTTTTTAATTAGTTGTTCGTCACACTGGACACCATCGAATTAAGGGTTAACATATATAATCGTATAATCTAATACATTATTTTAGGTTATGAAGTCCCAACTGATATTGAAAGTTGTCGTTTCTGTTAGAGACAATGATTTTTTTGAAACCCTTGCGTTGCTGCGGACAAGGGCTTGACATGTACTAAGTAGGAGCTTTATCATTCAAGACGTTTTCAAGTTAAAAGACGGGTTTAATGTATTTTAGTGACATTGATTGATTTTATAATTATTCCTTAACATATTACAATAATCTTTGCTTACGCCCTTTAATATTATAGTAAACATATTTAGTAGTCGAAAAGGAAAAGTCGCGGGCAATGTCTAGTCATAACACATATTAGTGACGCATTATAATCCGTGATTAAGCAAAGCCTCGTATTAAAATAGTCAAATTGCCTGTCTGATTCTACTTTTAATTTAACACTTTCAATGCCAACCCGCTCCGAGAATTCATATTAGTACTTGAAATACGTATTAGCATTGAAAGTGTTAACTTTGATGTTTATCTAATGATCCCCTCGCGTGTTACTGTGATTTTTGTATCAAATTAAATAGGCCAAGAATTTTTTTCCAGATTAAATTTTAAAATTGCCAGAGCTTCTGTTGAAAGGTTTAAAAAAAAAAATTCTGGCTTACCAGTATAATATTTCTAGTTCCTTTTGTTTCTTTTATATCTGTTTAAATCTAATTTGATTAAAATTTAAATTAAAAATAAGTATAAATTTCGAAGCCGAAAATAAGAGAATGTATCCTAACAAATGCAAACGTATATTATGTTGCTTCCGTTGAGATGAATGTTTTTATAAACAATATCAAATATGCAAAACATCGCATTGTTTCATAAACACAATTCGTGTGAACATAATCAAATAACGAACGTATTTCATTGAATTCATATTTACGAGTTCACTACAGCTGGTTACAGATCTAATAACCAAACAAATCTATCGATAAGTTATACTATTCATGAGTTACAACACTATACATCTCAGTTTGGATATTTTAAAGAGTAAAGCAACGTCTAATTTAGTTAAACTGATCTATTTAATTGTATATAGCAGTAGGTGAACGTGTTTTAAATAACAAAATTCTTACCTTAATTATAATACGAGTCTCACGACTATTAAGCACGTAACTGGCGCCTAATGAGTTGATTCCCAATGGTTCTGACTTCAATAGCCGATGCATTCTTGAGAACTGTATTGAATCTTGAATGAAAATAATTAACTACCTTTGAATTTTAAAGACTTAACACGGTCACATTTCGTAGCTTCGTAGTTTTAGCTTCTACGTAATAGTTACAAAATAAATTAATGGTAATTATTAGTTATGAATTCGATCGATGTAATACGTATTTTCCAAATCTAGGCTCTACGAAATGCTACGGAATGCATCACTGCCTATTGGTAATTCAGTATCACGCGAGCTTTCGTGGAAAGCGGACGTATCGTGCATTATTCGCGAACGCACGTAATCACGCTCGCAGACGTTCTACCTTTAATCCAATTTATATTAACAATGACAAGTCAACGACCTGATTAATTTAAATGGGACATGTTTTAGTAATTATGTGGTCGATTGTTTTTCCTGTGTAATGTTTTGGTGGAAAATGATTAAGGAGGAGGTGAATTCGGAAAAATGTTGAAGGAATCCTGCGTATGCACGCACATTGGATTTCTTTTGTTGACGTTTTATGTTATTGCTGTTAATGGATATATAGGTAAATAATTTATTTTATTTTACGGTTTTTAGTGCTAAAGATTATGCGTTATTGCATATGAGTTGTCTTGTCTTTAACACCTGTATAAAATATACTTCTCATATTTCTTATTCTCTTAAAAAAAAGAAATGTCATTTTCATGCACTGTTAAAGAATTAAATTCGCTTCCCACTTAAGATCGATTATCCTACAGTCTAATTTAATAGAAATGAGTTTATATTTACACATTTCACTGGCTGATAATGTTATTTATTGTCTATGGGTTTATTTTGGAAAGTTTATAATGTTTAAATTGATTAAACTTACGTACGTTTTTGATGAGTTTATGATTACAGTCTTATAAAGTTAAAATTGTTTTTGACAACTTTGTTATAATTTCTAATTTCCATTGAATTCGACTATCAAGCTATCACTGTATTGGCTATAATTTGGTTTTATAACAACTTTATCTAATTGCAAATTTTGCGTCAATCGAAATATTTCCGAAATGGGTCGGAAATTAACGTCCTCCACTACGTTGCTGTTTCGACAATGGAACACTCGATTATATTTACATAATACTTCCAAACAGGTGAATTCCTAATTACGTTACGGCGAATGGAGATTCAGTAAGAATGATACGATTGTCAGTTTAATTTAGTTGAATTATCATTCGAATGTATTAACCAGTTTTAATTTATTAGTATTCAATTGTACGGCGCTGTGGAGATGAAATTGTATCTCTATAAATAATTGTTAGTAATTTTATACGCTATGACCTCTTTATTGCATTCGATTCGTAAGTTACAGACATATGTTGTAATCTTTGTTTAATGGAAGATGTTACAAGACGTACTTGACTATAATTAAAAAAAATGAAATTTTAACGTCTTTAAGTAACTCAATACCAAACTCAGAGTCATCTAATAGTAATTTTAACTTTTAATGTAGATTCCACTTAATAAATCTGTCCTAAAGGAAGCCTGAATTAACAACTCAGAGATTGACTGTTAATATACGTGTTTAAGTAGACGAGTTCTTGATTGGAGACCACGGATCGGCAAACGTAGCGTACGACGTCCTCAGACTCGGTGGAGCGATGATCTTCGCAGGGTAGCTGGGAAGAGCTGGATGACAGTTGGCGAAGATCGTGCTCAGTGGCGTGCCATGGGAGAGGCGTCCAGCAGTGGACGAATATAGGATGATGATGATGATACGTGTTTTTAAATTGCGAATATGATTTTATGTGATTTAAGTTTTATTAATTATCGAATATTATTTATTAAGAATTATACACGACAAAATATTCATACAAACAATCATATATAAACATAACATTGTATTATAAATTTGAGAAAAAATAAATAAAAACGTGCAAATGTGCTTTGCTATTTTTCTGAGGGTTGCATTTTTACAATGGCGTCCAAACGGACATACGGAGTGACATTTTGCTATTAGATTGTAATACAAGTTGGGGAACTCTCCGCATTGTTACGAAATTTTAATAGTTAAGCAACAGATGCGTTGGTGTAATCTCCACCTGATTATTTGTAACTCTATAGGAAACTATTTTAATAATCAGTCTGTCAAGTTTGAAGACTAATTTTACGAGTATTTAATTGTTGTAATCGTGAATTTAAACGTAATTATTTAATAATTTTGTATTATAATTTCCTAGCTGTTTTAAAGTACTTTATTGGTAGTCTATGCGTTCATCCAGATTATGCTCTACATCTATGCCAAATTTCATAAAGATCTGTTAAGCCATTTTGGAGATATCTTCTAACAAAACTTCAATCCATCCATCCAATCATTCGCATTTAAAATAATCATCTTGTTGCGAAATATTGTTTAATATATTATACACATTAGTAATAAATTATATCTTATACAGCGTGTTGTTTTATCGATACACACATCTGCTTATAAAATATTCAAATTGTATCTCATTCCGAGCATATTGCGTGTATTCTAACGTTAAATTGGAAACCTCTATGCGAGATTTTTAACTGAAATATAAGTTGTGTAAATAATCAACGAGCGTCGGTGGCTCAGTGGTCAAGAACTTGACTTGCAATCTGCAGGTCCTGGGTTCGAATCCCGCCATGTACCAATGTGTTTTTCGATTTCCGATTTACATATGTACATTTATCCGACGTTCTTACGGTGAAGGAAAACATCGTGATGCAACCTGCACATATCTGAGAAGAAATTCAAAGATATGCGTGAAGACAACCAACCGGCACTTGGCCAGCGTGGTTGACTATGGCCTAATCACCCTTAACTTAGGGTAGGCTCCGAGCCCCTCGGTGGGGACGTATAGTGAGCTGATGATGAAATAATCAACTGAAAATACCAAAATCACCCACTATGTCGTCACTCTTATCAGACTTATGACGCAAACTTTTAAGACAATCATACCAAAGAATACATACTCGTATATTTGTAAAAATTATATTAAAGACTAGCTGTCGCCCGCGACTCCGTCCGCGTGGATATATATAAAACTTAATTAGTGTAGCCCACACATGCATCCATCCACATCACATCCATCTAAAAATTCCTTATTTATAATATTAGTAAGTTAAACATATAGCAGCTCTTCAATGCATAAATTCGAAAAAAAAGAATAAATAGTATCCTATGTCCTTCTCCTGGCTCTAAGCTACCTCCTCACCAATTTTCAGCCATATCAGTAAAGTCGTTCTTGAGTTATAAATAGTGTAACTAACACGACTTTCTTTTATATATATAGAAGATATATAGAATAGATAGATGTATGATTCATCTATATTTGTATTTGTTGTTTAATTTAAATAACCTTTTGGTTAGTAAGCTAATACACTGGAATACATTTTTATTACGAAAGTGCAATATTGAGGCTAACATTCTATAAAATATTCCGACATTTTTAAAACTTTCAACTTGAAATACGACCATGATAAAACATTTCGCAGGATATTTTTGCAAGCGTGTCGTGTTACTATCTAGCGTGCAGTTTCCCAACGCCGCGACAACAGAACAGACATAAATATACATATAAAGTGTTTGTATATCAGTCGTTTCATTGCAGACTGCGGAGCTATGAGCGATCGCCTCTAGCTACCACAGACAACTAAGTATAATGGATGTTGCTTCAAAAATTTCCACTGAGATTTTCTTTTTTCAATTCTATGTAGACGGACTGGTTGGAGATTTTAAAGTTATAAGTTTTTACAATATTAATCATTATAAAAGCGCCATTAATGGCGACAAATCTTACTATAATAAATATTATAAATGCAAATGTATAGATGGATGGATAAAATTTTTCAAACTTTCGTGAGACATTATACTAAACTGATATATAAACACGGCTAAACATTCACGTATATTCGTCCGGTGGCGGCACCGACTAGTTTCCTGATGCTCCCCTATGTGCTCGAAACTAGTCGGTGCCGGCACCGGACGAATATACGTGAGTGTTTAGCCGTGTTTATATATTAGTTTAGATGGATGGATGTCTGTTAGAAGGTATCTCCAGTACGGCTGCATGTATCACGATGACATTTGGCATAGATGTAAAACATAGTCTGCAATAACACATAGGCTAATTATTTTTTTTTAATTCCACGCTGACAGAGTCGTGGGCTACAGCTAGTACTCAATATTTAAAGCTGTTAGTACTTTTACTAAGTAATTTCCGATTTTGTGTTAAAAATAATCTAATACCGTTTATTTATTTTAGGTTAAAATTATTAAAACTATCGAATGACGAAAGTATAAATAGGCAACGAAATTTAAATTAAATATTTACAAAGGAATAAGGGAATTGAGTGTTCATTTCGTGTAATAACTCCCCCAAAAGTCTTGATTTTATTAACCAGCTTCAAACTGTTTCCATCGAATTCTCATTCCTGTCACGTTTGGGTAACTAATAACTCTCTAGTTAATCGTGAGTTTCCACTGTCGAAACTTCTGCACAGATATATTTTGTCTCAGTATTTTCAATGGAAAAGAGAGAGATGACAATATTAAGCAGGCAAAATTTACAAATGGGACTAGCGAGAGGGAAAGAGACCGTATTACTATCATTTATTCTTTTGTTTTTGCAAAATTTCAAATAGTATTTATGACGATGAAGGAAAAGAAAAATAATAAATTGTTTATTTTGTTATTTTCCATGACGTCTAAACATTGTGTGGGTGGAAAGAATCTATGTTAAGTGTTTCAGGTAACGTGCCAAATGGAAATTTATGAAATCGATCAAAACACATATTAAAATACATTATTCTTTCTTACTAATGTACCTATGATTTATATGTTTGACTCACTTATCGTGGGTTTCTGAGAACGAAAATTTTGTACAAAACGTATCGAAATCCGTGTCAATTATCTTTGATGAAACAGAGATAACAATCTTCTTACTAAAATTATAAATGCGAATGTTTAGATGGATGGATGGATGTTTGTTTGAAGATATCTCCGGTACGGCTTAACGAATCTCGCTGAAATTGGACATAGTTGTAGAACATTGTCTGAAGGAACACATAGGCTACTTATTATGGTGTTTTTTTAAATCCCCGCGTACCATAGTAATTTTTAAACGGGGATTTTGGTCTTAGAAACCCATGGTTACTGACACACATAGCTAAAAATAGCTTTAGTAGTCCATAACTACAGATTTCTTTTCAAACGTTAAACACGATGATTCGTTTTTGAAACATCTTGTTTATAACATTTAAATGGATGTTTTTTTTTATTTATGCAGTCATCCCGAACTTTAAGCTTAACAAAAGGAGCGATTTGTCGCTATTTCATATTGTATGATGAAGACGAGTGCCTCGGGATGTGCACAAAGCCCCTAAAATATCAAGCAAATCTATTTCGTCCCTTTTGATAAACTTACTTAATCTAAATTCTACTTTAATCCGTTATTACAAAGTTTAATTTCCTATAATAAATTATCTTTGCTAATATTCTCGATTAGTAACAGCCAGTGTAATTTGAACTCTAATTTTCTATGCGTCTTTCACTTTTTTGTTAGGAATAGTTTACTATTTGCAAAAGAGCAAAGATCAATAATCGTTGGCGGATGAATGCTTTTTTGGATGGCTGCCATGGTAACGTTGATTTGGATTTGGAATGCAACGGGGTCAGAATGAGCGAGTAAGGCTTATTAAAAATTTCATAGACATGAAAGGGATGCAATGATGAAGGGGTGAAAATGCACCGTCCGTTTGGTCAAAATTATATTAGTTTACACTTTTATACGACTAACGAATCCTCGTGGCCGAGGGAAAAACGCGATACACTAAAATAAAAATCCAGAATTTGATTAATTTAGTTATCTTATATCTTTAAATGAGCAATTCTTGTATATACATATAATTGGAATCTCGGAATCGACTCCAACGATTTTCATAAAATTTAGTATATAGGGGGTTTCGTGGGCGATAAATCGATCTACCTAGGAATCATTTTTAGAAAATGTCATTTTATTCGTGTTTTATCGATAATCAACTTAAACATAAACTTATCTTCTTCTATTAGTAACATCCAAAAATATTATTCATATTTCATCATTTTATTAGTAATTCGTACTTAAATATAATTTCCAAGAAACACAATTAAAAAAAAATACCGAGCAAAGCTCGGTCATCCAGGTACTATGTTTTATATGATTTTATAGTCGAATTTAAAATTAGTCAAATGAGAGAAAGCACTTCAGTTTAGCTTTTGACATTGATTGGATATAAAAAGCTCTCGTTCATTAAAATACGTCAATAATCATAAAGCACGAATTTGTATCGTTACTTTTATTGCCATTAACAGATTTATGAAAATAAAATCCACTAGACTGTTCTATTTATAATATGAAGATATTTATATCTGCAAACTATAACTCGAGGGGTAATATATCTAAGCGTAGTTTTTACCTTACTAATATTATAAATGTGAATATTTAGATGTATGGATGGATCTCGCTGATATTTGCCTTATATGTAGAACATAGTCTAGAAGAACACACAGGCTACTTTTTTTTAATTCCGGTCGAACAGAGTCGCGGGCTTACATGATCGTTATGTCTTCAAATCGAATAGTTAAATCTAGCCAAAAATCATACAAATAAAAAATGTAACTGTACATTCTTTATCTCTCTCTCTCTCTCTCAAGGTGCCTCTCCATTTAATGGAGGTTGGCCGTCAGCTCAGTGAACTTTCGCCGATCTTGTGCCAAGCGAAATAAATGTTCCACATTCTTTATAAAGAACAATAAACAACTTTTTAAATTAAAAAGAAAAACAAAATAAGTAGCCTAATGTGTTCTTCCAGGTTGTATGCCAAATTTCATCGAGAATCGTTCAGCCGTTCTGGAGATACCTTCAAACAAACATCTATTCATCCCATCCATCTAAACATTCGTATTTATAATATTAGTAAGATATAGTAGAGCATAGATCATTCATTAAATGTTTTATTTCTTGTTTCAGAAATAGTTGAAGAACAGAGATGTCACAATAGTAAAATTCGATTAACATGTCGGGATTTGGACGCCCACATCGCTGTATTAGAAGCTTGGTACACATCAATACAAGATTACCAAGCAAACTCGAATGTAACTCGAACGGAAGATATAAAAACAGAGAACGATACAGAATTAGATAAAGTTTATGTGTACTCAAGTCCGATGCATAATGGTGTTTACGAATTAGTTAATAGTACTGTAACTGATAATATTACGGATTTTGGTAACAATAGTTTGAGTGATATTACAAACGAAGTTTATGGTTTAAATGATACTGCGGAAGTGTTAATGGCGTTTTTTAACGCGAGTGAAATGTGCAGTGTACTTACTTATTCAAAGAGATATTCCAATTTGGATGTCAGTAAGGAGAGACGAGATCCCATCGTTAAAGGGTCTGCTGTAAATTTACAAATACCTTTAGGAAATCGGTAAGTTGATAAATTTCTTCTTCAATGTTGCAGTCTTTTCAGAATGGTGGCCATCAAGTATCAGTGACCCGTTTTACAAAAAAAAAATAAAAAAAATAATTATACAAATAGAAAGTTAACGTCATATATTGTTTATACTTATAATTAACGGCATTGACTTTATGACTTTATGAGGAATAAAGCTGACTAAATAATTATTATGGATTTTCTTGAGATCGGTCATTTAGTTACAAAATATTTGTTCAATATTTTGCATCTCCCGTAAATTTCACGGGTATTTTACGACATACAATCCTGTTCAAAAATAATTTAATTTCGTGTATTAATCAAACCGTATCTTTAATTAAACGGGTAAAATATACTTCCCAACAGGACTTCATAACCTCTCGAAGATTACTTTTGAATATTTCATAATAACGCTTTGTTACGTGCAAAGTTTAACATTTGGACGAAAAGAGGATTTTTTTTTCATTCATTAATTCATAAGATTTAAATTGAGAATGTTTTTTTACTTATTTATAGGTTAAATTAATCAGTAGCTTATCGCAGAGTGAATAGAGATTCCTTAGTGATATAGCGTGAAAAATCTACACTAAGGACGAGTTAAATAACCACTAAACTTATCCGAGTGGGGCAGTAAAACATTTGTACGATAGATTTAGAAATAGCTATGAAAAATTATTGCTCGCTCCCCTTTTACATTTCCACGGCTAGATCATTTTATTTGTGACAAACAAACCTCTATTTTTTTATTATCCAAGTTGATTATGACTATGGTGTCAACACTCCACATTTCTGAACGAAAGAAACGAAAATAGTCGTAGTAAACTATGTACATACTCGTATATGAGTATCATGTTTTTATGTTGATACTAGTAAAGGAATTTAGTATATTTTTCGATTATAGATAACTCATATTTTTAATATTAAAGATATATATATATATATATATATATATATAAAGCACTTTGTTTTTATATATATATATATATATATATATATATGTATATAATTGGAATCTCGGAATCGGCTCCAACGATTTTCATAAAATTTAGTATATAAGGGGTTTCGGGGGCGATAAATCGATCTAGCTAGGAATCATTTTTATAAAATGTCATTTTATTCGTGTTTTATCGATAATCAACTTAAACATAAACTTAACTTTTTCTATCGGTAAGATCGAAAAATATTATTCATATTTCATCATTTTATTAGTAAGTAATTCGTACTTAAATATAATTTCCAAAAAACACAATTTAAAAAATACCGAGCAAAACTCGGTCATTCAGGTACTCATACTAATATTATAAATGCAAATATTTGAATTGGTTGTTTGTTGGATGTTTTTTTGAAGGTATCTCCGGAACGGCTCAATGGATTTTGATTAAATTTGACACACATATAAAATTTACTCTGAAAGAACACATAGCCTACTTATTAGGTTTTTGTTAATACCGCGCGGACGGTGTCGCGGGCGGCAACTATCAAATAATAAAGTTCAAAAATGTGGTACAAATTTCTTAATAAAAACATCTGACGAGTACGTACTAATACAGAATGCAACAAAACTAGCTTTTAATTAAACAAAAGCAACTTAAAGTTATTCCAAAGCTGACTAAAATATCTTCACATACACCAACAGCACCATATTAAGCAAGTTTCACAATTGTTTAGTTGAAAAATATTTTGGTACGCGTGTATTTGAGATTCCACAATAGTTAAGTTGAAAGTAGGGCATCGTATGTTCCAACTCAATCAACACTTTGGTATTTCCTATAAGAACATTTAATTAAAGCGTAATTGTGTTGAACTTACATTTTTATTTTACTTACATCGAGTGATCGATATTTACAAGTTGCCAGTGTCTAAACATGGATCTATTTTTAAATTGATTTATAAAAAAAACGTTATAAATAGATAAGACATTATAAGCACAATCTTACTTCTTGCCAACTAATGATGACAATACTGATGGATGCTTGTTAGAAGGTATCTCCAGAACGACTGCATGTCCTAGATGTAGAACATATAGGTTACTAATTAAGTTTTTTTTTTTAATTTCGCGCTGATGGTGTCGATGACGACAGCTAGTCAAACTATGAAGCAGGAGTGCTAACATTACGAACCATTCCATCGAATTTTAATTGAGACTATATTTGCGTTGAACAGAGTAAATATTAAAATAGGTTTTAAGGATGCCGATAGCTATTAATAACTTTCGTAACAACGGCTGTAACTTGATACGGATGAATGCTGCCCATTACGAGGTTGTGTTAACGCGTAACAAAGGATTAGTCGACTATGATTTTTTACCAGCTGTCGCAAGCGACTCCGTTCGCGCGGATTAAAAAAAAACTTAATGAGTAGCCTATGTGTACTTTCAGACTATGTTCTACATCTATGTTAATTTTCAACCAGATATATTCAGCCGTCCTTCAGACACCTTCACACATTCATCCATCCATCTAGACATTTGCATTTATAATGTTAGCACGAATGGTTACTTAGGCAGATGAGAGCAACTTTAATGACAAATATTAAATTGTACACAGCAATAACATCAGTTTTTTTTGTTTTTAAAACCCAAATACATCATTAATATTCCAGTTCAAAATTTTACGGTATTTATCAACTGCCTTTAACAAATTAAATACAACTCATAACAACTCGGTACAATTCAATTAGTAAAGAGGTTCATTGTAGCAACAACACGTCTTCTAATCAATCTTTAATTGCCGCACTGGAGTAGGTTTAGGGTTACCACTGCCACATATCCGTCGTTATTACGTGTGTGGAACACAATATGCAATATGGAACACAATCTACATTTTCTTAGTGTGTTTTCTAAGACCTTGTCACCCCTAATTTAACGTTCCGAGCTATGAGAGTGGGAAAAATATAAGAGAATAAATATTTAGTTTAACTTCATTCACTTGGACAAAGTTTATTCTGAGAGAAATCGCCGAATACCGTTTTCTTTTTCACCGTCTCCTAAGGTGTCAAAGGTCGTCGTTCTAGTTTTATTGAAATTGGTAACCCTGTGTCATATCATTTCTCTTCGCCAGATACGATGCACTGGCACGGAATTAATTATTCATTGTTTGTTAACTTAATTTATATGCTAATGACTTTGAATAGCTTCGTGTATTTGAACAATTATGTCACAAGTACCAATACTCTATTCCAATGCTATTAGCCCTTTGTATTTATCAAAATATTTCTCAGTTAACCTTTGCTCATATCATTTTATATTGGCTAACTAACTTCTATTTAATCCATATCTAAAATTAATACATATTTAAACTAAGACATAAGCTAATAATAAGCTTGTTTCTAGCTAAAATTTTCACAATTTACTTTACCTTTTGTCATGGTTTAGATAAAAATATTAATTTCCCTTAATTTGAAGTCTCTACATTTTAAGGATTTCTTTCCATTTGTCTTACGCTTTAATGTAAAACTACATTTTAAATTAATTGAATATGTTAACTGATATTTACAGACATCCAGTCAAGTCGTATTGTTCCGTTCGACCGCAAACTTGTGGTTAAATCGAGCCTTTGTTGACCTCTGTGTGTTTGGTCATCGAGTCTATATTACGTTGTAGTTTGAGAAATACTATTGTTTTGTTGTTTCCTGTGCAATAAATTATCGTTAAGTAAATAATTATTGCATATCTGTTTTAGTCAGGGGTCACATAAAAGTATAAATTTTCAAATTTAACAGACATTTTATAGCTGGTAGATGTCGAATTTTGTAGCGCTAGCTATACATATATCATATTAATATGAACTAAGCAAGAAAGGAGTGTGTTAAAATATGACGGATTATCGATATTGATATTATTTAATAAAAACAGTATATGATGTCATGACTCAAGCAAATAAACAAATGAGTTTGATTAACTTAAGATTTTTATGTATGATGAAAACTTTCTATTATAATCTTGGTGAGAGTTCGTTTGTGTTTTGAGAAGCAGCGACGGTAAATTAGTTGCGCTCTTTGAACTTCGCCGCGGTCTGTTATTTAATTGGTTCAATATGAGCGCCGGCATCAACGAGAAGCAGATCGATAGTGTTCTAAGTTTGGACATATTGAATGCTCACTGCTATCAATTGATATTAATTATCTTGACTTTATTATTTATAACTTTATTAGTAACTTTAAATACCATTTACTATATATACTATTACTATGGATACTAAGAGACGCCTCGAGGTATTCGAAATGTGGTATTCCAAGTCAGCGGCCAACCTTCAAGACTGAAGAGGCACTAGAAGAAGAAATACCATTTGCCATTCAGCAATCAAGGAAATACATAAACGGACTGTAGCATATCTTTCGTAGTTTTAAAACCTACTTATCATAAAGCACAATGCCTTAAGTAACTTAATCTATTTTCAAGTTAGAATTAGAAATGACAAATAGTTATATGATAGAGTCGAAAATGGATAAGCAAGAAACATCTATAAGCGAGAGTCATTACCCGGTGTCGACGGACATCTTACATAACCTCTACAAGCTAGAAAAATAAGTTAGAATCAAATCCTGACTACCTTCTCGAAATGTCTAGATAGATAATAAACTGAATCTTAATCTGAAGCGAAGTAAAAGTTATGATTTAGATTTAGCTAAACGCATTCAATAGTGAAAGCAAACAAGTTCGTGTTTTGTTGACGTATCGGTTTCTATTCTCGTACATTTTCACTTAAAGATTATTGGAATCAATATCGTGTTATAACAGCACAAAAACTGTGAGCTTTTACCAAAACATCTTGCGTTTACTGCATTCTTGGGCGTTTTGATTTCAATTGTATTTTACTTTTTTTTTTGTTACGATTTTGATACTATCCAGTTGCCTTTTATGTTTTGTGTTTTTTTATATCTAAATCTCTTTTACGCACGTTCAGAAACACAATGAAATGTTCACAATCGCTATTCCATTCTTTTTAAACGCAACAAAGCAAACTTCGTACGTATAGTTTTTAACTTTCGAACGC